AGTCAGAGTCAGAGTTGTTTTGAAGTGGAAAGTTCCCTTGGGAAATTGAAGTGGAAAATTCCCTTAAGCCAGCTGCAGTTGTAACAGATTCAAACTTCCTCTAGGGGACACTGTAACAGTCTAAAATGTCTTAAAATAATTAACTTCTCCCTTTAGCCCCCCAATTCACCGAAAAGACAACAGTTTCTGTCTCAATCTGTTACTTTAAAACCAGGAGATACCTGTCAGCAATATTGTAACCAAGTTGTATCTCCGATGCAGAGTTAGCTGTCAAAAAGTACTTTCATCGACAGCGCAGTTTCCAATACGGCAGAACCCGTTCCAGGGTTTTAAGCGGTGGTTTTTGTTTCCTCTTCCTCTCTTTTTTCAGGGAAATAACGTTCAAACCTTCTCCCCCCTCCTCCCCTGCAGTCAAGGGGAAAATCACAGTTTTGATGCTCGAATTATAATCCTTTTCCAACGTCTTTTAAAGCTTCCGCTTTCAAGTTCAATGCTTTACTCCGTTTACAAGAGCGGGAGGCAGACTTCCTTTTTATACCTCTCCGCTTCGGTACTGAATTATTCAAAAGTTTTGTAAAGTTCCTTTAATTGGAAAGTTAACCTACTCACGGATCATTGTTTCAAAGCCAAATTGTCCCAGGAAAAGGCAGCGCTCTCCGGCAACAGCTGCGCGGCTTCACTCCACGGAAGAAGCAGACGACTCACAGCACAGCGCCACTTCCCCGCTCAGCTCCGGAGCCCGTTGCCGGGTTCCTTTGCTGATTGGGGGGGCGCAAAAGGTGCCCGCCGAGTCCCACGGTCACAGGCTTCACCCGCCTGTGATTTTTGAAGGGTCCCCGCTGCGCCGTAGCGGTGCAGACCCTATTTCCGTGGAGCCAGTTCCCTCCAGATCAGAGGGAATCCGCCATTACCGATGGCGCCACCCGGAAGTTCAAGAGCAGCTCATGCTCTGGGTCCAGACAGAACACTAAGAAGCTTGTACTATGCTAGAATCTGCACACCAGATTCCTATATCAATATGAAACGATATGCAAGGTTATCAAATGGTCTGATGTCCTGTCAAAAGCCAAAACCAAACCAACTAGGGAGAGGGTTTTCATAAAAAGGAATTGGAAATGGGTGCTGTCTCAAAATAAGCTACTTCTCTCAAGCTAACCTAAGCCTTTGGAAATCTTGTCACAAGAGGAGCGTAAAGTTTGTGAAGATGGTGTATAAGCACAGAGAATATCTAAGGAGAAGTGGTGTATCAGTCTCAAGATTATTCCAAAATGTGGCATCACCAGCTCCTCTGCTTCCACATACAGCAACACCTCCAAAAAGTCCTCGATCCAAGGCAGACTATCCTGCTTTAGTTGACATATACTCTGCAGGTGACAATCCTGACTAGCCAGCTGACCTGGACCCCAAGGAACCCCATAACTCAGACAGCCCTGGGTCCTTGCACTTGAGAAATCTGGGGAAGGACCTACTTGACAGAACTGAAAAGAATTGATTGCATGCCTTTTGTGCTCTGCCATAAGAAGCCCAGAATGAAATATTCTCCAGATTTGACCTCTGACGTTCCTGCCTAATGAGTTTGAAGAAGGAACACAAGGGCTCATGCAAGTAGAACTTGACCCTTTGTGCTCCAGATCCAGCCCACCAGATATTCCAGCGTGAGTTGAATTTATGGGCTGAAAAGCCACCTCCTCCCACCAGCAGGTTAATGAACCCTCTTTCCTACCAATTGGAGATGAAAAGCTTCCCAAAGATTTGGTCCCCATGCAAGAGGCAAATATGGCCAAAACACCTGCCTGGCTTGCAATGAGAGAGCTCAAAGAGCGTCAACAGGGCTCTTCATACAAAGAACCAAGCATGCAGGCACCTACAATACATGTACAGAGGTACCTCGGGTTCCATACGCTTCAGGTTACAGACTCCGTGAACCCAGAAATAGTGCTTCAGGTTAAAAACTTTGCTTCAGGGTGAGAACAGAAATTGTGCTCCAGCGGCACAGTGGCAGCAGGAGGCCCCATTAGCTAAAGTGGTGCTTCAGGTTAAGAACAGTTTCAGGTTAAGTACGGATCTCTGGACCGAATTAAGTACTTAACCTGAGGTACCACTGTAATAGCTACTGTGCTATTTTCTGCCCATGCTCTGGGGTTGCAGTTTTCAGGCTTGGGGACAGGGTGGTGACTGGTTTTTGCACCAAGTTCTGTCCATAAGCCCCACTGAGTTCAAGGGTTCCACCTTGAGGTCACTACTGGACAGACCCTGCCAGCCTTACGAAGTCGGGTGATTAGCAAACAGGGGAAACTGGAACGACAGGAGATGTTTCGAAATGGGGCTTCTGTTGGGAAGGGGCTGCCCCGTTTGTGCTTCTCCAGGGGCAGGAGAATATCTAGGGCAGGAGAATCCCTGCAGGGCCTCTGAGGCTCCCTTTGCTTCTTCCTCCCTCCCAGGACCCTGCAGCTTCTTTTGGCTCCTTGACTCCTCAGGAAGGATGAAAGAGAAGGATCCTGCAAAGCTAACGAGGATGGAAGGGGGGAAGATGGACGGTTGACCTGGTCCGGCTGTCTCCTGCATCCCTCCCCACAACCTCTGAGCGTTCCCTCCCAGGGACCTCCGAGAGATCTGGTGAGTTCCAGGAGAGTGGAGATGGGGACCTGGAGGGATGGAGCCGGAGAGGAATTGGGGCTTGCTCAGCTTGGGGGTGGGAGGAGGCAGGCAAGCGGATGGAGATGGAGAAGGGGAGCACCTTTTCGGGCTCCCCCACCTGCCTGCCTGCCTGCCTGCCTGCCTGCGCCTTTGTCGTCTGCAGGGAATTTGAGCTAGGAATAGATCACAGCTCCCCGGCCACTGCGATGTATTGGCAGCTCAAAAGGTCTAAAACCAGTTCTGTGATCTGAATGCCCTACCAATTTCAGACAACTCACTGATCCATCACGCAGCACTGGACTCCTTAAAGGAACCTGATCCTGCTGTGCAGTGTGAACTCAGATGGGGCCTCCGTGTGTTGCCTTTTTCTCTTCTTTTTGTATAACTTTTATTAGCTTTATAAAACAAGGAAGATAGGAATAATAAATGATACAAATATGTAGGCCGAGCCTGTATATCTCAAACATAGCAGAATAAATTTGCAGGAGTATCTATAACATATAGTTCATCATTAGTGGTCAGTGTATGAGTTCTGGGTGCATGAATTGCTTTCAACTGAAACAAAAAAGGGGAAACAGGAGAGAACAGAGAACATTCAAGATCGCAGAGCCAAATGCCTCGACTGGAGCTCTTGTGGCCGTTGTGCTTAGATTAAGTGAGTAATAGTCATTTTTCCTCTTCTGTTACCAATGAAACAAGACAGAGTTGGTCTTATCATGAAAATGGGAGGGGGGGGTTCAAAGTGAAGAAAGAGATTTACGTATAAATTTAAATATTTTCCTGTTTTAATTTTTTTAATTATTATTATTTTTATTGGTTTTCACATATTACTTTACAATACAGATGTACCAAAGCCAACACCATTTCCTCCCCATCCCCCCATACATTTACATTTCTATTTCCTCAATCCATCATATTATCCTTTTCTCCCTCCTCCCACTTCCCTCCGCCCCCACTGGATTTCCTCCACATTATACAATTTACAATAATCTTTGCATTCTACAACCTTCTCAAATCATCTTCATATTCTTATTATCTTTCCTTACTAATTTTTCTTCCATCCAGTACTTCACATTTTAATCTAGGCATATTAGCGTATCATTCCTTGAGCAATATTTTGCCATATATTCATCAAAACATTTCCACTTGGTTGTCAAGTCTCTGCTTAAAGACCTCCAAAGAAGGAGACTCCACCACACTCCTTGGCAGCAAATTCCACTGTCGAACAGCTCTTACTGTCAGGAAGTTCTTCCTAATGTTTAGGTGGAATCTTCTTTCTTGTAGTTTGGATCCATTTCTTCTTATAGCAGTTAATTTTGCCCGAATTAAATATTCATTTAGTTTACAAATCCATTCCTCCTTTGTGGGTATAGTTTGTGACTTCCACCGAGCAGCAATCACTATTCTAGCAGCTGCACTTGTGGAATGTAATGGCGTCTGCCACACTTTCCTGTGCCAACTCTCCGTGCCAACTGTGAGCCTGAAGCTGTCTTCCTGGCTCCAAGCCGAGTTTTGCAGCAGCGGTCGTGCCTTGGGTGGGTGATAAATCCAAGGCTGTACGCAGGCTTCTTGCTCATCTAAGAAGTCTTTAATCATTGTACGGAAAAACATCATAAATCAACCTGGAGATCGAGCAGACATCTCCTCGGCTCGACAGCTAAAAACGAAAGTAACTCGCACACAAAGAAAGATTCCCGTATGTGAACAAAACCACGCCTCAGAATGTGAGATGTCACACAGAACTGTTTAACCCTGTAAATTCTGATTCTCCTCACAGTACTTGCGTATAGAAAAATTCTTCCCCCCCCCCGTGGTATCTCTTCATCTATCACTCCAAGGAGATATGTCTCTGGTTTCTTTGTTATTGATATTTTCCACATCTTTAGTTCTTCGTGTACTACTATCCAAAATTTCTTAATTTCCTCACACCTCCACCACATATGTATTGTTGTTCCTATTTTTCCACCACATCTCCAACAGAGGTTGGATTTCAATTTGTATATCTTTGCCAGCTTAACTGGCGTTAAGTACCACCTATAGAACATCTTTACAAAATGTTCTTTAATTGTATATGAGGCAGTAAATCGTATATCCTCTCGCCAGAGTTTCTCCCATTGCTCTAGATAGATAGTATGTCCAAGATCCTGAGACCATTTAATCATCGTTTCTTTCACTTCTTCCTCCATCAATTCCCAGTCCAGTAAAAGATTATAGGTTTTGGATAACAATTTCTTGTTGTTCTTTATCACTGTGACTTTAAATTTCAAATCTTCTTTTGCAAATCCTTTCTTTTGATCCGAGTTGAATATACTTCTAAGTTGTATATATTGCCATCTGTCAATTTAAATTTTGACTTACCAGATTGAAATAACTTCTGATGGGGAGTGTTCAGGTGAAGATGTTGCTGTTTGTTTCACAGACAAGGCGTGGACGTTGCTGGATCTTGACCAGAAAGCTCAGCATAAAGAGGTCAAGGAGGAGAATCGTGGGATCATGGACTCTCTTGGTAAGGCTCCCTGTTGGATCATAACATGTTGTGATTGCAGATGGAGTGGATTCCATGACTGAGCCAGAACAAAATCCATCCCAGATAAAAGCCAAGCAATATCTCAGTTAATACCAGCCAACTAAGGAAGTGAAACCTATAGGACGGCCTCACATCTCATTCTCTTCAGATCTTCCTCTGTCACAAGCATTCATTAACATTGTTCAATAATCTGGAGCTCCCATTTCCTCCTGAGACTCTAATTAGCATCTCTCTTCATTGCAGGTGGTGATGACTTAGAAGGGAAGAACAAGGGAGAGCACAACAGGATCCACATAGCGGAGAAGTCATGTAAATATTCAGAGTGTGGAGAGAACATCCGTCAGAGCTCCCAGTCCAACTCCCATCAAAGAAAGAGCTTCATTCGAAGGAATAGCCTCACTTCACACGAAATAACACAGAGTAGGGAGAAATCGTATCAGTGCTTGGAGTGTGGAAAGAGCTTCAGCCAGAGGGCCCATCTCACTTCTCATCAAATAATTCATACAGGGGAGAAGCCCTATCAGTGCTTGGAATGTGGAAAGAGCTTCAATCGAAAGAATAATTTCACTGTGCATCAAAGAATTCATACAGGGGAAACCATATCAGTGCTTGGAATGTGGAAAGAGCTTTCGTGTGAGTGGTGAACTCACTTCCCACCAAAGAATTCATACAGGGAGAAACCCTATCAGTGCTTCGAATGTGGGAAGAGCTTTCGTGTGAGTGGTGATCTCACTTCCCACCAAAGAATTCATACAGGGAGAAACCGTATCAGTGCTTGGTGTGCGGGAAATGCTTCAGTTACCGCACCAGGATCTTTTCCATTCAAAGAATTAATCCAGGGCGAAACCCTATCAGTGCTTGGAATGTGGAAAGAGCTTCAATCGAAAGGGTCATCTCACTTCTCATCAAAGAATTCATACAGGGGAAAAACCCTATCAGTGCTTGGAATGTGGAAAGAGCTTCTGTCAAAGGGCGACGCTCACTTCCCATCAACAAATACATACAGGGGAGAAACCCTATCAGTGCTTGGAATGTGGAAAATGCTTCAGTCATAGCACCGGTCTCACTTCCCACCGAAGAATTCATACAGGGGAGAAACCCTATCAGTGCTTCGAATGTGGGAAAAGCTTCAGTGAAAGAGCCAATCTCACTTCCCATCAAAGAATTCATAAGGGGAGAAACCCTATCAGTGCTTCGAATGTGGGAAGAGCTTTCGTGTGAGTGGTGAACTCACTTCCCACCAAAGAATTCATACAGGGAGAAACCCTATCAGTGCTTGGAGTGTGGAAAGAGCTTCAGTCAAAGCACCCATCTCTCTTCCCATCAAAGAATTCATACAGGGGAGAAACCCTATCAGTGCTTGGAGTGTGGAAAGAGCTTCAATCGAAAGAGTCATCTCACTTCCCATCAAAGAATTCATACAGGGGAGAAACCCTACCAGTGCTTGGAATGTGGAAAGAGCTTCTGTCAAAGGGGGACGCTCACTTCCCATCAACGAATACGGGAGAAACCCTATCAGTGCTTGGAATGTGGAAAGAGCTTTCGTCAGAGTGGTGATCTCAATTCCCATCAAAGAATCCATACAAGAGAGACAACGTCTTAGTGTTTGGCATGTGGGAAAAGATTCATTCATTGCCCACCAAATAATTTATACGGGGTTGAAAATTGGGTCCCTCTCAAAGAGGGCTGCAGACAACCGACAGATTACAACTGGGGAACAGGAAACCACATCTGCTTGCATGGACTTTTGTCATATATGGATTTATAAAAGTGAAGGTGAATCTTTGATCTTTGTAATCTTCCCTTAGGGCCCAGGGGGAGCAAGCTTGGATTCTAGAGGAACCAAACAAGTATTAACTGTGAAATCTATCGCACAGTGTGGTCTCTTACAGAAGATTCTTCGGTTTGGGAAAATATCAGTCAGTTAAAATACATTACATGTGTCTTAATTTTAACTAAACAAAGGAAAGCAGGAAGACAGCCCAGAGTCCTGGAAGATAAGATGGTGGAATGAAATAGGGCCTTCTGAGGAGGGACTGCACCGAAAACAATTGATGGACAACAACAAGAAGAGCACAATTTTCATCATGCATGTTAATTTAGATATAGATCTGTTAAATATGATGAAAGTTGCATGCCAGTGGCTGTCAAGATAAGATAAAGGATTAAGATCGGGATGATATTGGGAATAAATAAAAGAGAGAAAAGTAGGAACAAGAACCCCCCCCCAAAAAAAATCTCATCAATCTTTGACTTTTGTCTTCTGGGTTTCCCAGTTGTTATTCTGTCTCTCACAGCTACAATAAACCGACCATTAATATTGTGGACTAGGCATTTCTTCGTCAGAGGGCAAAAAACCCAAATTTAGAAGGGGATCAAATACTTTCCCCCCTCCCTCTAGATGTTTACACACACCCCTGGCTCTCGTTTGGAGGAGGAGTGAGAGGCGGAGGCACTTTACTGACAGAATGGCATTTCCACGGCACCTCCTTTCCTCCCAGGAGCTCCTCCTTCCACAACCCTGCCAGGCTGGCCTCTTGCATGTCGCCCCCTTTCCAGCACTGCGTTGTTTAGTGTGGCAGCACCTGCCCTTTGGAACTCCCCGCCTCTTGCAATAAAGCGCGTGCCTTTGCTAGACTCTTTTCTGGCACCTGCTAAAAGCATTCTTGTTTAGGCAAGCATAGTCAGATGCTTAGGAAGCTGAAGTAATTTTAATCTCTTTTAATATTTTAGCTTTTCTGTGTTTTAAAGTAGGCTTGTTAATTTTTATTGATTTTACTGCTGTGGTGTTGTTCTTGTTTTTTGTATTGGTAAACAACTTTGCAGGTTGTTTAAAATAAATTTTATGAAATAAATAAACAATAAATATAAATAAAATAACACAAGCCAAAAGACAATGCATCCTGTAGATTTAAGTAACTGTCCACAGTGGCCTACTTGTTATCGGAGGCCCAGAATCCACAATACTTTGTAAGAAAATATGAAATAAAGTCAAAACATTTTTGTAGGCAAAAAAAAAAAAAAAAAAGAAGTCAATACTGGGAGGTGACAAAAACTTTTCCACACCAGGTACCCCCTGACCTTGTTATGCCACTACCTGGGGTGCAGGGAATGCATGGGGGTCCCTGTTCAGATAATTCCTGGTGGGGGGAGACCCCCAAGTCAGGGAGCAGAGGGTCCTCCCTTGTCCTCTCTGCCAAGCCAGGGAGGGGCCACTTCGCAGGAGGTCTGCAGCTCTGCTCTTCCTTGGGATCCAGATGCTGCCTTCCTTTTGGGGGAGGGGGCTTTGGGTCAAGGAAATAAACCCCCTTCAGAGGGAGGGAAAAGTCACCTTTGTTAACAGAGGATGTAGACAGATGAGAAGGTTTGAGATATACAGACTCAGCCTACATATTTGTATCATTTATTATTCCTATGTTCCCTGTTTTATAAAGCTAATAAAAGTTATACAAAAAGAAGAGGAAAAGGCAACACACGGAGGCCCCATCTGAGTTCACACTGCACAGCAGGATCAGGTTCCCTTAAGGAGTCCAGTGCTGCGTGATGGATCAGTGAGTTGTCTGAAATTGGCAGGGCATTCAGATCACAGAACTGGTTTTAGACCTTTTGAGCTGCCAATACATCGCAGTGGCCGGGGAGCTGTGATCTATTCCTAGCTCAAATTGCCTGCAGATGACAAAAGCGTAGGCAGGCAGCCAGGTAGGTGGGGGAGCCCAAAAAGGTGCTCCCCTTCTCCTTCTCCATCTCCATCCGCCTGCCTGCTTCCTCCCACCCCCAAGCTGAGCAAGCCCCAATTCCGCTCCGGCTCCATCCATCCAGGTCCCCATCTCCACTCCCCTGGGACTCACCAGATCTCTCGGAGGTCCCTGGGAGGGAGTGCTCAGAGGTTGTGGAGAGGGATGCAGGAGACAACCTGACCAGGTCATCCATCCATCTTCCCTCTTCCATCTCCTCTAGCTTGACAGGATCCGTCTCACTCATCCTTCCTGAAGAGTCAAGTAGCCAAAAGAAGCTGCAGGGTCCTGGGAGAGAGGAAGAAGCAAAGGGAGCCTCAGAGGCCCTGCAGGGATTCTCCTGCCCTAGATATTCTCCTGCCCCGGGAGAAGCACAAATGGGGTGGCCCCTTCCCAACAGAAGCCCCATTTCTAAACCTCTCCAGTGGTTTCAATTTCCTCTGTTTGCTCCTCACCCCACTTCGTAAGGCTGGCAGGGTCTGTCCAGTAGTGACCTCAAGATAGAACCCTTGAACTCACTGGGGCTTATGGATACAACTTGGTGCCAAAACCAGTCACCTTCCTGTCCCTAAGCCTGAAAACTGCAACATCAGAGCATGGGCAGACGAGTAGCTAATACATGTAAGTGGCCCCATGCTTGGTGCTTTCTATGGAGTGTCCTGTTGACGTTCTTTGAGCTCTCTCATTGCAAGCCAGGCAGATGTGGCCATATTTGCCTCTTGCATGTGGACCAAATCTTTGGGGAAGCTCTTCATCTCCAATTGGTAGGAAAGAGGGTTCATTAACCTGCTGGTGGGAGGAGGTGGCTTTTCAGCCCATAAATTCAACTCATGCTGGAATATCTGGTGGGCTGGATCTGGAGCACAAAGGGTCAAGTTCTACTTGCATGAGCCCTTGTGTTCCTTCTTCAAACTCATTAGGCAGGAACATCAGAGGTCAAATCGGGAGAATATTTCATTCTGGGCTTCTTATGGCAGAGCACAGAAGGCATGTATCCAATTCTTTTCAGTTCTGTCAAGTAGGTCCTTCCCTAGATTTCTCAAGTGCAAGGACCCAGGGCTGTCTGAGTTATGGGGTTCCTTGGGGTCCAGGTCAGCTGACTAGTCAAGATTGTCACCTGCAGAGTATATGTCAACTAAAGGATAATAGTCTGCCTTGAATTGAGGTCTTTTTGGAGGTGTTGCTGAATGTGGAAGCAGAGGAGCTGGTGATGCCACATTTCAGAATAATCTTGAGACTAATACACTGTTGGAAAACATGCCCCCCTCGGGAGAGGCTGGCCTCTCTCCCAGATCCCGGGGCTTGTTTACCGGTGATCTACTCTGGCTGACATCCCCGCAGTCCAGGAAGATCTTGATAGGCGACATCTCCCAGCCGGTAAGATGCACACCCCCCTTCTTCCTTGCATACCAGCAGGAGAAAGAAGATAGTCAGAAAGTCTTTTACATCTTGTTTATTTCTGACTGCACAACTCTACAAAAAAATGTCCGATCAGTTCAGTCTCCTCCGAGCAAGAGACTCAGACTTCCTTCACATACGCAACGGGAAGGTCTCATATTACACACAGAACAAAGCCTTGTAAATCCTGTGAACTTCCGGGAACATTCTTTCCCACAGCTAGCCACATCTTGTGATGTAAATACTGAGCTGCCAGTTTGCAGCTGCGTCACACTCATATTCCAACATACACCACTCCCCCATAGATATTCTCTGTGCTTATACATTATATTCAAAAAATCGTCTTGTGAGAAGATACCTAAAGGATTAGGGTAGCTTCAGAGAAGTAGCTTATTTTGTTGTTGTTTTTTAAATGATATTTATTAACATTTCAAAAGAAAAAGATCACATCAATAAAAAAATTAACAATAAAAAGGAAAGATACAAAAGACAAAGTACAAAAAAGAAAAAAACAGTTAAAAACAATTCCATCTTTTCATCACTTCTTTTAGATTTACTTGTTTCCTGGACCTCCTCATACCACCCTCTTTTGTATTCCAATTCAGTTTGTTAGTCCAGCAATTCCTTTCCCTCCTTTTTAATCCTGATCTTTAATCTTAATATATTATAACATTAAATTTTTACCTATTAAAAACCAATTTTTCCATATTCTTTTATACCATTACCGCTAGAAACCGCTTAACTTCAATCCGTCATCATTCTAACATTCATTAATTTTACAATATTTCTGTAAGTAGTCTTTAAATTTCTTCCAATCTTCTTCCACCGACTCTTCTCCCTGGTCTCGGATTCTGCCAGTCATTTCCGCCAGTTCCATATAGTCCATCATTTTCATCTGCCATTCCTCCAGTGTGGGTAGATCTTGTGTCTTCCAATGCTTTGCAATAAGTATTCTTGCTGCTGTTGTAGCATACATAAAGAAAGTTCTGTCCTTCTTTAACACTGATTGGTCGACTATGCCCAGGAGAAAGGCCTCTGGTTTCTTCAGGAAGGTATATTTAAATACCTTTTTCAGTTCATTATATATCATTTCCCAGAAAGCCTTAATCCTTGGGCACGTCCACCAAAGGTGAAAAAATGTACCTTCAGTTTCTTTACATTTCCAGCATTTATTATCGGGCAAATGATAGATTTTTGCAAGCTTGACTGGGGTCATGTACCACCCGTATATCATTTTCATAATATTCTCTCTTAAGGCATTACATGCCGTAAACTTCATACTTGTGGTCCATAACTGTTCCCAGTCAGCAAACATAATGTTATGTCCAACATCTTGTGCCCATTTAATCATAGCAGATTTCACCGTTTCATCCTGAGTATTCCATTTCAACAGCAAGTTATACATCTTTGACAAAATCTTAGTTTAGGGTTCTAACAGTTCTGTTTCTAATTTTGATTTTTCCACCTGGAAGCCAATTTTCTTGTCCAAATTGTATGCCTCCATTATCTGATAATAATGAAGCCAGTCTCGCACTTTGTTTTTTAGTTTTTCAAAACTCTGCAGTTTCAATCTATCTCCAGAGAAGTAGCTTATTTTGAGACAGCACCCATTTCCAATTCTTGTTTATGAAAACCCTCTTCCTAGTTGGTTTTGTTTTGGCTTCTGACAGGACATCAGAGCATTTGATAACCTTGCATATCGTTTCATATTGATATAAGGATCTGGTGTGCAAATTCCAGTACAGTGGTACCTCAGGTTACATACGCTTCAGTTACATACGCTTCAGCTTACAGACTTCTTACTTACAAGAAAGAAGATTCCACCTCAACATTAGGAAGAACTTCCTGACAGTAAGAGCTGTTCCACAGTGGAATTTGCTGCCAAGGAGTGTGGTGGAGTCTCCTTCTTTGGAGGTCTTTAAGCAGAGGCTTGACAACCATATGTCAGGAGTGCTCTGATGGTGTTTCCTGCTTGGCAGGGGGTTGGACTCGATGGCCCTTGTGGTCTCTTCCAGCTCTATGATTCTATGATTCTATGACTCCGCTAACCTAGAAATAGTACCTCGTTTTAAGAACTTTGCTTCAGGATGAGAACAGAAATCGTGCTCTGGTGGTGCGGCGGCAGCGGGAGGCCCCATTAGCTAAAGTGGCGGTTCAGGTTAAGAACAGTTTCAGGTTAAGAACGGACATCTGAGAACGAATTAGTGTTCTGTCTGGACCCAGAGCATGAGCTACTCTTAAGTAAGTTAAAAAGTATTTTTAAGTCAACTTTTTAATATTGCACTATTTTAATTTTTTTTTAACATTTTTGCTCTTCTTTGTACTTATAGACGTCCTTTTGCCATGTAGACGAATCAAACCTCCCTTATTGATTTATTTTTAATGGTATGGAAAGAGAAATTGTTGTATTATCTGGTGCTACAGACTCTGCTAGATTTTATTCAGAAGGTTTTACAAGTTCCTATCAGGATGGTAAGAATTTTATTACAGTCAGCCAAAAAGGATTTTAAGTGTTCCATGTCCTCTGTTAGTACTACAAGCCACCCAAAGACTGATAATCCCTCTTTTGTCCCAGAAGTTTGGGAGTAGCAGTCTTTTATACTTGCTTTAATTTTGAATTTTGCTTTCAGATTAGTTCCTCTACTTGTTTAGCCTGAAT